AAAATGTTCAGGCTTTCCAACAAGGCAGCTTGTCTAAAAATCTTTACATGGAACATAAACTCAGGAGTTGAGTCTTTTTTCAGATTGTGAGCCCCAGTGTTTGTCCCAGTCCTTCCCTCTTTCTTCATGTTACCCTCCCTTCCATTCCTTCTTCACCCAGCCCTGGCCCCAGCTGCCTTTTCTCATAAGTGACCTTTGAAACTCAGGCTACACCGAGATTTGCTGAATCAGCAGGACCAACTGCTGTTTCTCTTGCTTAGTTTTGGGCCAGTGGGAAAACGTGCCAGGATGCCTTTGTGAGGCCCTATGGCATTCACTGTTTGCATCTGGGAAGAGCTTGGGAATGAGGAAGGAGGGAGCTGATGTGGAACTCGGCATGGAGGCTGGTAAGGAGGAGGGAGACAACCAGTGTTTCCCAGAGACCAGGGGATGACTTGGTTCTCTTAAATGCATTATTTTTGGATGGAAGGAAGGGAAGAGCAGTGGTCTAGGTGCTCAGAAAGGCAAAGGGCAGCAAATCTTTGCAAGTGGCCACTCTATGCCAGCTTTCTGATATAAACAAAAAGATGCACACTCCCTCCCCAAAGTGGGCCTTCAAGCTGGCCCCATTTCTTAGACTAGAAGCTCTCTCCCTGCTGGGGATAGGGGAAGAACTAGTGGATAGGGAGATTGGTGAGCATGGGCCCTACGATGCTTCCTCAGCAACCAGGCACAAGGTAGACAAGGTTCCTGTGTGTTGAAATTGTCCTCACCCAGCGATAGGGTTTAGCCTCATAGGGAGGGGATTAGGGTGGGAAGAGGGGGGCTGTATCATCAGAGAATGGGATGAGATGCGCATGCAAAACAGGTATCTCCATGGATTGAATTTTCTGCCTTTTGTTCCCTTTCCAGCTATCCTTGCCTCTTGCTATTCTGACATAAACCTTTGAGCTCAATGAAGAAAACCTGCTCTCTGTCTCTTAACATGATGTTTATACTCACCCTTTTTACCTTGTGCTGTTCTGATAGAAGATTGCTCTACGCAGCTGCAACATGCTTACACTTGTTTAGACGTTTCTAGATATGTATCTCATATATTTTGGGCAAGGACCATTTGCTTCTTTCCAATCTTTCCACAGCACTGAGTGCAGGGTTTTGAACAGACTGGACACTTGATACATATAGTTGACCATAGACCTTTATACTTTCTTTCTTAATAGCTTTTAGGATGGGCCAGCCATGAGCTGTCACCTTCAAGCATGCAACCCTGACTCAATAGGAGCAGAGACCCCAGTTACAATCAGCATCTTAGACAACTCAGGCTAAAAAGCACATCCAGGAATCTTCTAGCCATACCCAGCCTCCAGTCAGTATGAGAACAGGGAGCTCAAAAGATACTCAAGACTTATTTCATGTTTAAAGGATGTGGGTAGAGAGGAAAGAGATTTCCCTGTGTAGCTTACGTGGAAGAAGGATAGGAGGAGGAGAAGATGGGAGAGCGAAAGTGTTTGAGGGAGAGGAAGAAAGGGAGAAGAGAAGGAAGAAAAAAGGGAGGAAAGGAGTGAAGGAGAGGAGGGATGTGAAAGGAATAAAGAAAGGATATAACAGAGAGAAGACAGGAGCTGTGGAGCCCTTCAGACTTCATAGTCACATTGAGGTGGGGAGCTTGGAGTAGGAGCTGAATTTGAATTGGAACGCAAGAATCTATCCTCCAGCAATCATCTGCCTGTGGCGTTGGAGACATGGACAAGCCCTGCCATCCAAGGCAGTAAATGCATGACTGGTGGGTGGGAAAATGTGCTCAGATGCCACCGAGGCCAGCAGCTTCAGATAAGTTCATATGCTTCCATGGCAAGAGGATTTGTCAGGTCAAGTTGGGTTTCTGGTGCCAGCCAGGAAAGGGATAATAATAAATTCTGTAGATGCTGTGAGCCTTGATTGAAAAAATAAAGAGGAGGAAGCTATGTTTGCTGATTTCATTAAGAGGCAAAAGCAGTGGGGGTCAGAGCTTAGCAAGAATCAAGAAGCACGCAGAGAAAGAATTTTAACCCTTCAAATGTTTTTCTTCCTTAGTATCTCTGCACTCACCCACTCACGGATTGCTGCTTTCTTGCACTGACCTCCAATACCACCACCACCTTTGTGTCTCCCTCAGCTGAAGGAGGGAGAGAAGCCAGATTACATATTAATGCAGATAAAATGGGAATTAAATGATTCATTATTTCCCAGTCCAAAGTTCTCTAGGGCTTCTGCCTCTCCTGGAATTGGGTAGGAAGAGGGGTTCTGGGATTAAGAGTCAAACTGTGTGAGGACATAATGCACCTACTGGAGTGCCTGGCCTCTGGAAACCCTCACCCACTCTTCAACCACCTCACTGGGGCAGCGTTCTCACTGGAATGAGGCCAGAGGAGGAATGAGAGAAGATTCACAGGAAACGCATGATCAGAAGACCTGCTCTGCCAGCTCTTCCTCCCGCTTCAGCACTCCTAGTAGAGAACCAATTTTGCAGCGAGCCCCCAGGAGCAATACCAGGGAGGGGGCTGCTGGCTCTGCTCTTTTCCTCCTCACCTTTCCCTATCCTTGGAGATACCTCTCTGCCTGCCGGCTCCATCTACTCCTGCACCGTAGACAGGTATGGGCAGAGAACAAACATACAAAACAGGCCATGGGCAGAGAGCAGGGTAAGACCGAACATGTAATTAGCAGTGATGATTCCTTCCTGAGGTTCTGCGGGGAAACTTGCGTTGAAGTTGGGCAACTGTGGGGAAAGAAATGAGTGGTCCAGAAGATATTCAATCAGCCAATATGACCATGTTTTCACATCCAAGGAAAGAGAGCTGCAGGGAGGAGGGGAGGCAGGCACATCCATGGTCTCTATGTCTCTGGGTGTGCAGGCTCAGGGAGGAGGGGAAAAAGCTGGAGGCTCTGGAGAAAGGAAGGCACTACTGTTAAGTGCCTGGGCCAACTTTCTAAGTGAAGGATTCCAATAACTTCCACTCTCCTCTACCATGTTAATTATTTCTTATTTTTGTTCTATTCCTTTGAGAGGCAAAAGCGGGACAGGTGAGAAGGAAAGATGAGGATGTCACAATTCCTCTCTGGAATTGACATGTGAGGCTGGACAGGAACCCAGATAATTCCTAAATCTCAGGGTTCCTAGCAGGACCAACTGAGTGAAAGGGTTTGGGCTCTATAGATCACTCTGAAGGCCATAGCGATGTCTTTGTCTAAGAAAAATAATCTTTCGTCAACTCTTTTTGCCACACAATGCCCTGGAGAGATGCAAAGAAAGTGGAGATGCAGTAGGGGAGAAGGGAGACACCAAAAGTCATGAGGAGAGAAATCATAATGACCAGGTAGCTGTGGCTCCCCACAGGGAAAGGGACTGGAAAAATTCTTCCCACCTACCTGGGGAAAAGACCACTTAGTATCTTGGAACAGTATTGCCTTTTGCTGAGCCTTGGGCATTGAGGAAAAATGACTTTCTGCTTTTTATGCCAGATAAGGAAAAACCAAAAATAAAAATGTGAAACTGAGGGAGGTCCAAATGGGCTATTTAGAGAGTTGAGGTAGAAAACTGTATCTTCTTGGGGCTTGAATCAAGTGTTTTAAGTCAGCCAAGCCAGATTATGGTAGACTCCTTGGTTCTGATCCACGTACCCTGTGAGCTACACTGCCCTAACCCAACTTCTCTAACTCTACAACAGATGGGAAAAGAAAGTGAGTTTTGAAGGAATACAGCAAATCTTCACAAGGATCTCTCAGACTTAAAGCACATGTGCAAGTGGATGAAGATGAGAATTCCCAGCTCTACTTTATTCCTCATTATCCCCTGTAGCATCACCATTTTCAAGGTCAGGTACTGACCAGGTACAATTTCCCTTGAACTACCCTTATTTAGTTCTCCTTCACTTGTCTAATCAGAGAAAAGAAGCTGGCATGGCCACAGCCTTTCCAGTACAGAGAAGAGAACATCCCAGATGCTTTCATGTCTTCTTTCCATATTCCTAGTTTATGGACCTCGTGAGTGAAGAAAGAGCTTGAGGTTCTAGGTGCTGAGAGATTAACATTTCTCTCAGGACCCAAGACAAGATTTCAGTGATCACCAAATAACCGGAGGAAATAAGGTTTGCAGTTGCTGGCCTTAACGGGGAGATTTAAACAGGCATGGCATCCGAATATCAACTCCATCTGTCTACTGACCCCCATGTCATTGTTCCCTTTCAGCAATGGCCAAATACCCTGTAGGAAGAACCCTCCTTGAGTTGGAGGAAAAATCTATACCCAGACTGAGTTCTCAAGCCATGCCTGAGTCCTCCATTGGTTTGATAGGATGGTCCCTTGCGCCTCTTCGGCTCTATGGGAATTCAGAGCAGAGAAGCATTCCCCAAATGAGCCATTCCTGGCTATGACTCCCACTTCACCAGGTGAAAAGCCGCATCTTCTCTTCATCTGCCTCCAGCTCCTGTGCTTTCCCACGTCACTCCTGCTTTTCAGGTTTGCCCTCAGTCTCCTGATTTTCCCTCTACCCCAGTCCTACTCTTCCTGGGCCTCAGCCCTTTTAAAGCTCTTCACATGCCTCTTTCCGAGCCTTCATCTCAGTCTCCATTCAAATACTTTTACTACCCAAACTTCCTTCCAAATTTTTCCTCACTTAAAAAGATACCTTCAATGGTTCTCTTCTACAGTTGAATCTTCACTCGAACTTCATCCCAGTCTAACCCCCTTTAAATGCTCAGTTACTAATATCCCCAATCGCTTAAAACCCACTTATTTCCTCCTTTGGCCTTACTGATGGTCTGGTTACTCCTTTTTGCTCCAATATTCCTCAAAGCCTTCTCAGGCACGGATATCATTTCCTCATTTTCCCCAGATCTCCTTGACACACTTCTGGCCCCTTCAGGCCACGTCACCCTGGTCTTTTAGACTCCCACGCACCCGATGCCCCTGTCTCTCCCTCACACCCACTTGCTTCCCTTGCTCCCACCACAACAGTGCCCATCTCCCTCTTCCCCGCTCACTCAGGTCTCCTGCTCAGGACGCCCTTGCCGATGGTGGAGGGGGATTTGTGCTGAAGGAGGGCTCCGGCAGCAGCGCAGCAACTCGGGGGACGCTCCTTCTCCTTGTCAGTCACGGCTCCCTGTGCCCCCAGATGCTTGTGGGGCGACTGGGGTGTGTGAGCCCTGCTGCCAGGGCCCCGCGGGGGCTGCTCCAGGAGCTGTCCGTGGTGCTGAAGCGGCGGCTGCTCGGGTGCGGGCTGTGGCGCGGCGGCTGAGCGCTGTCCCTGGTCCTGGAGAGGTTCTTGGGCCCTGGCGGCGGCAGCAGGAGCGGTGGCCGGAGCGACGGGCGGCTGGGCGGATGACGGGGGGACGAGCCCGGGCGGAGGCTGGGCTTGCAGCAGCTGCTGGTGCTCCCACAGGCTGCGGTTCTCAGCGCTCAGCTCGTCCAGCCGCCGCTCCAGCTCGTCGATGCGCTCTCGCTGGGTGTGGATGAGGCTCTGCTGGTTCTGCACGATGGCCGTGAGCTCCTTGAGGTAGAGCACGGCGCGCACCGGGTTCTCCAGCAGGCTCTCCATGCCGCCCGCCGCCGCCTGCGCTCTGCCTGCGCCTGGGCTGGCGGCGGGGAACGCGAGGGCGCGGGAGCCCAGCAGCCCAGTGGTCGGCTCGCCTCCCTCGCCCACGGGCCCAGCCTCCCTGCCGCCGCCGGCGCCGCGTCACCGCCACTCCGACCTTCACACACGCATCGCGGGGCGGGGCCGCGGCTCAGGGCCCCACCCCCACCCCACCCCCTACCTCCAGGCCTCCCCAACCCCTCATCTCCCTGCCTCTTGGCGTCATAGGAGGCTCTGCTGCCTGCAGGGCCGAGATGAGAGGGAGGAGGCCAGAGACAGGGAACCTGCGGCCCGGGCGTGGGAGGGAAGCAAGAAACGCAGGCGACCCGAGAAGGACGGTGAATCTGACTGGCCAGAACGGGAAGTAGGCGAAGGGGAAGAAGCAATCCTGGGAAGGTGCGATGGGACCTGCAGGAGAAGAGAAGCAGAAAAGAAAGGAAGAGAAGGGGAGAGGCTGGCGGAGAGGAAGCAGAAAAAGGGAAGGTGGGGAAAATAAAGAGAAATGAGCTGGAGGAGAGGAAGGCGTGGGGCCCTGAAGGGGCGCGAATTCTTTAGGTCCAGTCCTTCCAGGGGCTGGGGTCCATCTAGATACCTGCGGAGGAGAGGCCACACTAGCCGCTTTTGCTCGCAGCAATCTATTCTGCGGGGGAATTTCCTGGAACACAAGGATTCTGGGGCTCTAAGGGACCCTAAAGAGCATCTGATCCTGCTCCTTCCTTCAGCAATGAAGAAACTTGGGGTGGGAAGGCTGTTCATGCTGGGTTTTCCCTGGGAGTGAGATCTCAAGACAGTTTTGGCAGTTCCTGATAGAAACACAAACTAAATAAACCAGGTCCTCTGTGGCAAGGGCTAACACTTCCAGAAACTTCTGAACAGGTCATTCTATTTGACAAATAGTTAGAAAATGCACGCTGTTACCAAACATTGGGCTAGATGGTGGTAAGAGAAAGATGATTAGAATAGAATCTTAGGCTTCTTGATGCTTATAAATAAGTGGGTGAAATTGGTCATAATTAACTTTGACGTATGGTGGTGGTGGGGAGTGATCAGGTAGAGGTTTGCCCAGAGTGCTATAGGAGCCAGCAGCTTAGAGATCCAGGAAGGCTTCTTGGAGGAAGTGACTCTTGGTGTGGCAAGGGTTTCTCAGAAAGGGAGGGCAACATGAACAAAAGCTCAGAGACATTAATCAGCATTGATGGAATCATTCATTCATGTTTACAACAATCATATGTAAAACACCCACTAGGTGCAAAGTAATGTACCAGAATCTATGCAGGCCACATTTAGCATAGATAATAAGTTATCATTTCTATAATCAAGTTGATTCCAATCTCGTAGAGTAGATATGACATGCACATGAGCAGGCAAAACACAAGTCGAGATTTCTGTAAGAGCTCTTCAAGCCAAGTGCCATAGAGTTCAGGGGTGGGAGAGGTTTCATTTGACTGTTTTGATCTGATGAGTTCTGATAGGGGTGTTATTCAAGTTGGGCCGTGAAGAATGGGAGATATTTCAACAGGTAGGCAGAACAGGGGGCCAGAGATGAGAAAGATATATGAGGCACCAGGGAAAAAGCTAAGTAATGGAAAAATAGCACTTGGTTTAAATTAATTTGACAGGAAATTAATTTTCTTTTCTTTTTCTTTGTCTTTCTTTCTTTTCTTTCTTTCTTTCTTTCTTTCTTTCTTTCTTTCTTTCTTTCTTTCTTTCTTTCTTTCTTTCTTTCTTTTTTTAGACAGGGTCTTGCTCTGTCGTCCAGGCTGGGGTTCAGTGGTAGGATCATGGCTTGCTGCATCCTTGACCTCCTGGGATTAAGCAATCCTCTAGTCTCAGCTTCTTGAGTAGGTGAGATTACAGATGCATACCACCATACCTGGCAAAGGAAATGAAAATGAGTTGTTCTTTCCTCTTTTATTGGAATGTGATGAGAAGGAGGCAGGGTTATGGGTGCTCTTTGCATGTTTGTTGTTGTGCTGTTCTGCTCTTCACACACATGTCCATCAGGCACCCTGTCAACCTTCCATTCTCCCAGGGTAGGCATATTTATGGGTACCATGAGCCCAGTGAGCTGGGCCACCCCTCACCAAGTGGTGCCAGACTTGAATGATCTTATGAGAAGGAACCTGTGCTCTGCAAATATATTGGTTTATCTGCATTTGTGATGTGTTTTTATTTTGCTTTTCTTCCATTTATCTTCATAGCAAACTTTCTCTGCTGATTATTTCTTTTACTGTGCACAAGCTTTTTAGTTTAATTAAGTCCATCTGTTTATCTTTGTTGCATTTGCTTTTAGATTCTTAGTCATAAACTCTTTGCCTAATGTCTAGAGAAGAGTTTTTCCGATGTTATCTGTTGGAATTTTTATGATTTCAGAACTTAGATTTAAGTATTTGACTCATCTTGAATTGATTTTTGTATAAGGTGAGAGACGAGGATGCAGATTCATTCTTCTACATGTGGCTTAGCCAATTATCCCAGCACCATTTGTTGAGCAGAGTGTCCTTTCCCCACTTTATATTTTTGTTTGCTTTGTCAAAGATCAGTTGGGTGTAAGTATTTGGCTTTATTTCTGGGTTCTCTATTCTGTTCCATTGGTCCATGTGCCTATTTTTATACCAGTACCATGCTGTTTTTGTGACTATAGCTTGGTAGTATAGTTTGAAATCAGGTAATGTGATTCCTCCAGATTTGTTCTTTTTGCTTAGTCTTGGTTTGGTTAGGTGGGCTCTTTGGTTCCGTATGAATTTAAGGGATTTTTTTTAGAGTTTTATGAAGACTGATAACGGTATTTTGATGGGAATTGCATTGAATTTGTAGATTGCTTTTGGCAGTATGGTCATTTTCATAATATTGATTCTATCCATCCATGAGCATGGAGTGTGTTTTCATTTGTTTGTGTCATCTATGATTTCTTTCAGCAGTGTTTTGTAGTTTTCCTTGTAGATATTTTCACCTCCTTGGTTAGGTATATTCCTGAGTATTTTATTTTATTTTTTGCACTTATTGTAAAAGGGGTTGAGTTATTGTTTTGATTCTCAGCTTGGTTGCTATTGGTGTATATCAGTGCTACTGATTTGTGTACATTGATTTTGTATCCTGAAACTACTGAATTCATTTATCAGATTTAGGAGCTTTTTGGATTAGTGCTTAGGGTGTTCTAGGTATACAATCATATCATCTGCAAACAGCAACAGTTTGACTTCCCCATTACCAAGTTAGATGCCCTTTATTTCTTTCTCTTGTCTGTTTGCTCTGGCCGGGACTTCCAGCACTATGTTGAATAGAAGTGGTGAAAGTGGGCACTTATGTTGTTCCATTTCTCAGGGGGAATGCTTTCCGTTTTCCCCCTTCAGTATAATGTTGGTTGTGGGTTTGTCTATGGATAGATTTTATTATCTTAAGGCATGCTTTTTCTATGTCGATTTTGCTGAGGGCTTTAACCATAAAGGGATGCTGGATTTTGTCAAACAGTTTTTCTGAATCTATTGAGATGATCATGTGATTTTTGTTTTTAATTCTGTTTATGTGGTGTCATTTATTGACTTATGGATGTTAAACCATCCCTCTATCCCTGGTATGAAACCCACTTGATCATGGTGGATTATCTTTTTGATATGCTGTTGGATTTGGTTAGCTAGTATTTTGATGAGGATTTTTGTATCTATGTTCATCAGGGACATTGGTGTGTAGTTTTCTTTTTTTGTTAAGTCCTTTCCTGGTTTGGGTATTAAGGTGATACCGGCTTCATGGAATGATTTAAGGAGGATTTCCTCATTCTCTATCTTTTGGAATAGTTTCAGTAGAATTGGTGAGAATTCTTCTTTGAATGTCTGGTAGAATTCAGTTGTGAATCCATCTGGTCTGGACTTTCTTTTGTTGGCAATTTTTAAATTACAGTTTCAATCTCACTGCTTGTTATTAGTCTGTTCAGGGTTTCTATTTCTTTTTGATTTAATCTAGTTTGTATGTTTGTAAGTTTGTATGTTTCCAGGAATTTATCTGTCTTCTCTAGGTTTTCTAGTTTATGCTTGTAAAGGTGTTCATAGTAGCCTTGAATGATCTTTTGTATTTCTATGTCATTAGCTGTAATATCTCTTGTTTCGTTTCTAATTGAGCTTATTTAGATCTTCTCCTTTTTTTTCTTGGTTAATCTCACTAATGGTGGCCAGGATGGTCTCGATCTCTTGACCTCGTGATCCACCCACCTCGGCCTCCCAAAGTGCTGGGATTACAGGCGTGAGCCACCACGCCTGGCCTTCCTTTTTTTTTAATTAAAAAAAAAATTTTTTTTTTTTGAGATAGAATCTCACTCTGTTGCCCAGGATGGAGTACAGTGGCATGATCATGACTCACTGTAGCCTTGATCTCCCAGGCTTAAGTGATCATCCCACCTCAGCCTCCCAAGTAGCTGAGACTACAGCTGCATGCCACCATGCCCAGCTAATTTTTAATTTTTTTGTAGAGATGGGGTCTCCCCCTATATTGTCCAGGCTGATCTCAAACTCCTGGGCTCAAGCAATTCTCCTGCCTTGGCTTCCCAAAGTGTTGAGATTACAGGTGTGAGCCCCCGTGTCTGGCCCTGACTTCTTTCAGATTGAGTATTTTTTGGTATTCCATTTCATCTTCACGATTGGCTTATTGACACTACCTGTTTGTTTATTTATTTAGCTGTGCCCTAGGGTTTATAGTATTTGCTATTAACTTCTCACTGTCCACTTTCAAATAATACAAAATATTTCACATATAATGTAAAAATCTTCCCACAGTTTATTTCCATTCCCCCTCCTCTATGCTGTTATTGTCACAGATTTACTTCTAAATATGAGTCCAACAATGCATTTTTTTCATTTTTTATTAGAGCCAAATATCTTTTCAAGAAATTTTAAAACTGGAAAAAGATCTTTTATCTCTACTCACATCAATCCCATTTCTGTCACTTTCATTTCTTTGTAGATCCAAGTTTCCATTTGGTATCATTTTTTCTTCCACCTGAAGAACTTTAACATTTTTTATAGTCAGGTCTGTTGGTGACAAATTTTATGATTTTTTTTTGTCTGAAAAATATTTATTTCTCCTTAATTGTTGGTTT